AGGAACCGCAACTCTGTGAGTATGACCATCCAGCCAATTCCTTATCCACCGACTGGCCCATACATCAGATCCATGTCTCTAATTTAGAGGCAGATATGTCATGCAGGACAGTGTCAAATGTTTTGCTCAAGTCCAGGGAGATGATGCCAGTTGCTCTTCCCTTATCCACCAATGCAGTAACCCCATCATAGAAGGCCACCAAATTTGTCAGGTGCAGTTTTCCCTTTGTGAAGCCATTTTTGCTGTCACCAGTAGCCTCCTTATTTTCCATGTGCCATAGCAGAGTTTCCAGGAGGGTCTGCTCCATGATCTTGCCAGGCACAGAGGTGAGACTGACAGGCCTGTAGTTCCCCGGGCCTTCCTTTTTGCCCTTTTTAAAAATGGGGATTATGTTTCCCCTTTTCCAGTCTGGGAACTTCAATGAACTGCCACCACTGCTCAAATATGATGGATGGTGGCTTACCAACTTCATCTGCCAGTTCCCCCAGGACCTGGAGTTGCACCTCATCAGGTCCCATGGACTTGTGTGCCTTCAGGTTCCTGAGATGGTTTTGAACCTGATACTCTCCTACAGGGGGTGATTCTCCTTTGTCCATGCCTTTGCCATCTGCTACTTGGCAGTGTGGCTGGAGCACTTGCCAGTGAAGACTGAGGCAAAAATGTCATTGAGTACCTTAGTCTTCTCCATATGCCAGGTAACCACGTCTTAATTTTGTTCCAGAGAGGGCCCACATTTTCCCTATTCTTCCTTTTATCACTGAGGTACCTATAGAACCTTTTCTTGTTGCGCTTGATGTCCCCGGACAGATTTAATTCTGTGAGGGCTTTAGCTTTTTTAACCTGATCCCTGGCTGCTCCGACAATTTCTCTGTATTCCTCCCAGGCTACCTGTCCTTGCTTCCACCTTCTGTAGACTTCCTTTTTGTGTTTCAGTTTGTTCAGGAGCTTCTTGTTCATCCATGCAGGCCTCGTGGTGTTTTTGCCTGACTTCCTCTTTGCTGGGATGCATTGCTCCTGAGCTTGGAGGGGGTGATCCTTGTTTTTGTAAATAAGTCAGCTACTAAATCAGCTGAGAAACACTTGTAGCTATGCATTTGATTTTATTCCTCCCATTTTAAATTTGTCATCATAGTTTATCAGATTTTTCCATTTCAGAGTGGTTTCTGGAGACAAAAGTATGAGACGAATCTCTTTCTGCTGTAATTATGTAATAATTATTATGCTTTTTTGTTAGTGCAGTTGTAGTTGTTAAAATTACTAGGATAAATTGGTGATCTTTCCAATAGTTTGACTGTCCCATAAACAAAAAAAAAAACACAAAACATCCCACCAACCACAAAAACTACAGCATTTGTGGATTGAGTTAAAAAAATGAAAGCAAAATTCAGAACCAAAGATGACAGTGTGAGGAGGGAGACTATCATCTGTGGGAAATTTTACTTATTTGGGAATAATGTCAAAAGGTCAAATTCTTATTTGTGTGCTTGCCCTTTTAGGGAGTTCTTACTGATTCCTCTTTTAAAATCCTCATGTCTTACTGAGGGGAATTTACTAGGTTCTCTGACTGATGAAAGAAACCGGCAGTCTGCTCACCAAGGATCCTGCTCAAACTCCAGCATAGCCACCTGTCTGCCTTTGTGTGGGGAAAACCCCAGAATTCAGCGTTGCAGAACATAGAACAGAGCTGCTGTTTGGACTAGCAGCGTGCTGCTTCATCTTGGGCTAGCAGATTTTTGCTGGGCATGGTTTTGGCCCTGATGCAGTCTAGAATTAAGGTGAATGCCACCTTACTGAACTTCAAGCCTTATACAAGCCTTATGTGTCACTATTTTAAAGGTGAACATAGAATTTTACCTCTAGTTTTGGGTTGTTTGCTTGAGGCAGTGAATGGTATTGATGTCTGGGCTGCAGATGTTTGGCTTAAAATAAGTACTGATTTGCCTGTGTTAAGTATGTATTTGGAGGCGTTTTTAGAAAATTTAGAAAATTTGTATTTGATTCACAGGGTTGTTTTTTTGGTGAAGGAACAGTTTCAGTTGATAGTGTAAGCAGAAGGTATGCACAATCAGCATATCTACATTGTGTAGAACATTTTTGCCAAAGTTTTAAAAACCCCCAAGAATTGTGTAATCTCAAATTGCTAATAACTGCTCTACATTCTTTTGAGGCAAGAAGGGGGAATCTGAACTTTTGGACATCACGTATCCCCTAGCAGCTTATCATACTTTAACTCTAGTGTGCAGCTAAGAAACACAATCCTCTTACTCTTTAGCTGACCTGAAAAAAAAAATTAGCAAATTTTGGTATATAATAAGGCTATTAAGTTTGTTACAAGGTATCTGTCTATTGCATATACTCTATAAGGTGATCAAATCAGTTTACATTTGCATGCAGATTTTGGGATCTGAGAGAGACATGGCACGTAAGATGAAGCGATTTAAGTCCATGAAGAAAAATACTGTAGTATGAGTTGCTGTTCATGGACATTGATAAGATGGTTCATAGTCTGTATATAGAAGGTGATCAAACATTTTTGGCTACAGGTATGTCTTTTAACCCAATGAAAGGAGAGAATAACTTAAGGAGTGATATCACCATAACAATTGATCCATTTTAACCTTGCTGACCTAGATGCTGAACTATCAGGGATGTTTTTGACCAAGGCCTTGAGTAGCATGTGCTTTCAACCAGGTTGTTCCCAGAAGTTCCAGCCTTCTCTTGTCATTTTAAACCCTTTCTTAACGTTGTATTCTGTCTGCCAACTGTCACTTACTTATACAAAGCTCTTTGACTAGTTTGTCCAGCCAACCTGTAAAACACAGCTGGAGGCAGGCTTGGTGGGGGCATGTTCCAGTAGTAGAGGCACAGCTTTTTTAGGTCTTGTGTGTGTAATACAGAGGCAGATAATTTGAAAATTGAGACATGCACATCAACCATGGGAAAATTTTCTGCCTTCCTGACCTGATGTAGACTGAGAACTACTGCTAATAAGAGCTAGTCCTGTCAATAGTTTGCACTTTGTAGTATGCATTTGTGTGAGACATTAAAAATCACTTGAATTAGCACTATTCATTAAAATTTGGGAGAGGGAGGTGCTAACACATCTGGCCACAGAGTAAATGAACTAGTTTGACTTTCTATGAACAGTGGCAGAGCAGAAAACAAAATCTAGGACTCCTAGCAGAGTCTCTGAAGTTCTAAATACTAAAAAGTGAGTGGTCATTAAATATACCTTTCCTCCTTCTTGGCTTTTCTTTTCTGGCACTGGAATTATGGTATTAATGACAAGTGACAACAATATCTTTCCCATTGCAATGAGACACTTGGCCTGAGAGAGTCTTACAGTTTGGATCTGATCTGTTTTGCACCGTTTAATCTGTTGTTGCTCTCTAAATATGAGGCTAATTCTAAGAAGGCTCTGTGACTGTATCCATATGCAAAGCTCTTTTTAATGTTAGCAAACATGCACATACGTGCTTGTGTTTAAGGTACAACGTATGTGTATGCTTTCCTGTGTTGTTCTAATTTGCATTTGCAGAAAAAGGACCCTTATATGTTTCCATTTGCTTAGATGATAAGCTATATTAAGAGTGCAAGAGCTAAAATAATACAAGACAGGTTTACTGTTAAGTAAATTCCCAAGAGGATGATGTTATTCTTAAGGGAAATGGAATTGTCTGTCTGAATTGTTTGAATTTGTTTGTCTTCTCCCCATGCTATTTAGGACCTTGTTTCCTGAAAGTGGACGTTTGAAAAGAACAGAACAGCTGATGATGACAGCAAATGTTGATCCAACTCTGCGTCCTTTTCAGCTCTCCATGTCACACTTTAGAAATCTGTGCAATACATACAGGAAAATGTGCGATGAAGACCCAAGCCTTTTTGCGTACAATTACAGAGAAGACCTAAGGCAAAGGAAGACGATGAGGAATTTACTTAAAAGTACCAGTGAGCCCAAACAGACTGAAGAGGAAAACCAGCTGTAACTGCAGCAGACTGAGTTTTTTATTTAACTCCTTGATCTAGAGGTGTTGATTCAGTAAAAGGAGGCTTATATATTTCTACATCTGTGCAGATATGGAAGAAATACTTTTGAGAAAGTGGTGGAGAGAGAGGGCTTTCGCATTTTATTTTCATTCCATTCAGCTGTAGACAAAAGTGAAAGGACAGTCCGGTTGCAAGGTGCCTACAGGTTCTTTTTTATTTGAGGGGAGCGGCCTGAACACATACCAAGAACAAGGTATGTTATGAGACGTAATTAAGCTGGGATGCTTCTGAAATAATTGTTTTGAATGAATGAAAGCGCATTATTGAAATGTAAGAAAAAATACTTTTCATATTTCAACATGTAAGACAGTGTTTGGTTTTTGTGCTCTTTTTACCCTAGAACATCCTACTGTGCAGAGTAATTTAAAAAACAAAAGCCAAAACTCTTGTATAAATATACTCAAGTGACTGGCTTACAGGAGGATAGTGCACAGATTGCCTCGGGGTCTGCCACTACTCTTCTCATTCATGCAGAAGCAAAGAATTTGGGATTTAAAGCTCCAACTACAGAAAAGCAGCATGATAAAAAGTAGAAAACATGGCTGAGTACAATAGTTATTTGTCTTTTACTGTACAGACTGGTAGAGAAAATAAAAAATACAGTCAAATAAAAGATTACAGGCCAAGCTTTGTTTTTGTATTTACACATATGTATAAAGTATAAACAGCATCTTGAAACTTACAAAAATGAAATTTCTTCACTGTTGTGCACTAAAACACATTAAAATAACTTAATTCTGCTTTAAATAAAGCAAAAATGAAAGCCAAAGAAATAAAATGCCCAAGGTATTGAAAAATTCATTTTGCAATGCTACTTTCCACTGTAATCCCCTCCGCCACTCACGAGCACCTTTTCCACATTACTTAAAATATTAATGAGGCCATCCTTCCTTTCCCCTCCCCAAGAATACTACATCATCTTAGTAACTGCTTGAAAGGTATGAAGTAATTTACAGACCTTGGCCAACTTAGTCTATTTTTGATCCACAATAAATTAAAATAACTTAAGAATCCTTTACAGCTGGTTTTGTGGAAAAAATGTATTAGTGCACAAAATCAGATAGTAGTTTTCCTGCAGCTTCCATGAATTTACTAGTTCTAAAGCAAAATAAGTTTGTTGAATTTTATGTGGACTTCAAATGAATATTTTAAATATAGTGCTTAGAAGCTAGGATTTCCCATGCCTCTCCACGGCTTCATAAAAACAGTCCTCATTAACTACAGATGTTAAACTCTGGACGCTAAATTCTCTCTCTAAAATAGAGTTCAGATCCAGGTTTGCAGCATCAGGGTGACTGTCAAGGGACTGGTGACATTCTTGCATTGCTATTAAAGTTCCTCTGCTACGCTTTGTGCTGTTTACTTTTCTCTTCACTGGGCAGAAATGGCCACGCACCAGCTTTGGGTGTTCTTCTGTCTCAAAGCAATCTCCTTCCTCATTTTCAGCAGCCTGATTCCGCTCGGAGTCAGTACTCGGTTCCTCTGAAATCTTCAGCCGCTGGAACTGTATTTCGATGTCTTTCGTAGGGCTGCCCTTCTTTAGGCTCCGATAGTCGTCATCGTCGTCATCGTCACTGAGAATATCAGATTCTTTGACAAGAACGTTAGAAAAGTCGGCTGCACAGCTCTCTTCGTGCTTACTGGGAGATGAGTTTTTGGGCTCCTGCGTGCTCTCGGCGGTGTGGCAGCTGCTGCTCTGAGTGCTGCTGCTCAGGCTGCACTCATCAGAGTCCAGGAAGGTGCCTTTCCCCACCTCACCGTTCCACTCGCCGCTGGACGAATTCTTCAGTACCTTCAAGGACCTTGTGGAAGCTGTGCAGAGGAGAAAGGCAGGTTCATTTTTTCAACACAACATCAGCTGGTGGTTAAACTGTCTGTCTCAATAGCTCACTTGTAATTACAGTGGAGTCGCATTTGATCATCAGCCCAGGTCAGATGGGTCAGCATTCCGATACCAACAGTGCCATCCCGTGTAAGAGTTTTCATTCTACCAACCCCAGGGCTACGTGCTTGCCTTCACGTGTAATTTATACAAAACCCTCCAAAAATTGTAATAATCTACACACATTCACAGGAAAGCAAGACTTGATTCGGGCACCTCAAGGACTGGAGCGCCGGGTTGGAGGCATCAGGTGAACTGTGCCTGTTCCTGTGATGTTAAGGCGGATTCACAGACAACTGATCAGAGGGCGAACGTGAAAAACTAGTAGCTACTCATTTAATTAAAATGTCTGAAGCCTGTGCTTCATTAGGGTATCTGCTGTGATGCAGATTTAGTGCACTGAAAGAAACGAGACCCCTGCCTTTTGCCAGTTGTTTTAGCTTTAAATGTTAATGAGGGCTGAGTTACTAAAGGGAAGCCAGAGGAAAGAACACTAATCCTGCGTGCCAGAGGGAGTCTGTTTCTTCCCAGCAAAATTAAGTTGGGCCTTATTAAGTCTTCCCTTAAGAGAGCTAATGACACACCAAATGTGAGAAAACTGGGCAGTGGGGGTGCATGGCAAGCTTGCTTATCTCCCCTAGCCCTCCTCATGCACTGAGTTGTGGAGAAACTCACCCACCTTCCCAGCCCAAGAAAGAAATGGGATTTGTGGGTCTGGCACACGGCATGCTACAGTCGTGGTAATAATTGCAAACCTTCTGCCAGCGCTGGAGTCCAGACTCCATTTTTCACTTTGGGAACGTGTTTCTTACCCAGTTTGGCTGTAGCAGGAACACGGTTCTTGAGTGGGACAAGGCGATCTTTAGATGTTTTCTCCAGTGGTAGCTCACACTTTATGTGGCGTCTGAAGTTCTCCCGCAAAATAGAACGGATCACCTTCACAATGTTAGTCTTGTTCTCGCAGTCACTGCAAGTTTGAGGAAACAGACAACCTAATTTTCCCCTCTGAAGTAGGACACTACTGGGATGAAATCTGCCCTTCTCTTTTCTGCTGATGTGCTTTAGTACACGTTTTTTTTCCAGCAGCTTGCTTTAGTAGTGGCTTTGCAGCTAACATCGTTGTATGTTGTTAGCTATTTTGCACACTTTGTGTTTTGAGATCTTGGTTACTTCCCCTTAGAAAAACAGCCTGAAAGGGATCACCCCGTAAGCTGGCTTTATTGTAAGGCAATTTCTGTCAACCAACCGAGAGTCTGATAAAATCAGTTACTTTGCCTGCATCACCTGGATACCTGGGTGTCCTGGTGGACGACAGGTTAACCATGAGCCAGCAGTGTGCCCTGGCTGCCAAGAAAGCC